GGATATTATGGTAGCCTCCAGCCACATGGAGTTATTTAAGTATTAAGTAAAAAATGTAGTTCCTCTGTTGTCCTAGCTACATGTTAGATGCTCGATTGTCACATGGTGTGTAATTTATTGGACAGCTCAGGTTTAAAACATTTCCATCATTGCAGAAAATTCTATTGGACAACACTATTTGAGGTTACCTGATTTCTGGCCTTGTGTGTTCTATCAGATCACTTGAGTTCTTTAAGGAATAATCAGAATTTCTTTCTGACGAATCCCCTCAACTCTAGAATGAAAGATATAGAGCCGGGCTGGGCGCGGTGGCTCACACCTGTAATCCCAGCACTTTGGGAGTCCGAGGCGGGCGGATCCCCTGACATCAGGAGTTCGAGACCAGCCTGGCCAACATGGTGAAACCCCGTCTCTATTAAAAATACAAAAAGCCAGCGCGGTGGCTCAAGCCTGTAATCCCAGCACTTTGGGAGGCCAAGGCGGGCGGATCACGAGGTCACGAGATCGAGACCATCCTGGCTTACACGGTGAAACCCCATCTCTACTAAAAATACAAAAAATTAGCCAGGCGTGGTTGCAGGTGCCTGTAGTCCCAGCTACTCGGGAGGCTGAGACAGGAGAATGGCCTGAACCTGGGAGGCGGAGCTTGCAGTGAGCCGAGAGCCGGCCACTGCACTCCAGCCTGGGTGACAGCGAGACTCCGTCTCAAAAAAAAAAAAAAATACAAAAAGTAGCCACGTGTGTTAGTGCACGCCTGTAATCCCAGCTGCTCAGGAGGCTGAGGCAGGAGAATCGCTTGAACCCATGAAGTGGAGTTTGCAGTGAGCCGAGACTGCCCCATTGCATTCCAGCCTGGGCAACAGCAAAACTCCATCTCAAAAAAAAAAAAAAAAAAGAAGAAGATATAGAGTTGAAAAATAGATAATTGGGATTTATCCACCTAGATGTGAGAATGGATAGGATTGCCCAAAGAGTGGAACACAGCATTCCATCATAAGAAGAGCCATAGAAGGAAGGGAGAGAGAAGGCAGGAAGGAAAACCGGGATAATTATTACTCTCATGCAGAGTAAATAGCATTTGATAATTCACTTGTAAATATTTATTGTATGCCCGCTGTATGCCAAGTGTTAGATTAGGTGCTAGGGGTATATTGATAAGCCAAAATGGGCATGACCACTGTTACAGAGTTTTCAGTTTATGGAGTTTTACAGGAGGGACTGGGTTGAAGATTCAGGAACGCCCATCCTCCTGCACTTGCGATATTATAAAACACTCCATTCCTAGAAGTTGGAATTGGAGGCTGAAACGGGTGAAGTTATTATTTAAGGTTAGTTACATAACCATTGTGCAGTCACTGCTTCAGCTTCTCAGGAAGTAGTAAAAAGAAACACCAGCCGGGCGCGGTGGCTCACGCCTGTAATCCCAGCACTTTGGGAGGACGAGGCGGGCGGATCACAAGGTCAGGAGATCGAGACCACGGTGAAACCCCGTCTCTATTAAAAAATACAAAAAATTAGCCGGGCGCGGTGGCGGGCGCCTGTAGTCCCAGCTACTCAGGAGGCTGAGGCAGGAGAATGGCGTGAACCCGGGAGGCGGAGCTTGCAGTGAGCCGAGATCGCGCCACTGCACTCCAGCCTGGGCGATAGAGGGAGACTCCGTCTCAAAAAAAAAAAAAAAAAAAAAAAAAAAAAAAAAAAGAAACACCATAACTTGAGAACTTTGGGGGAATAAAGTATCTGTATTGATGGAGGGCAGGAAGGGTAGTTCGTATTATCCTGCATCTGTCAGCCATACTGTCTGCTGCCCACTGGATTCCTCTCTGTCCCTGCTCTCAAAATCTGTTCTCTTCTGGCTTCTCTTATTGTCAGTGTAAGTAGTCAGTCACCACATATTTCCCAATGCCTGGTGAAGACATACTTCACTTCTCAGTCTGTTACCTGCTCATTCTTCAGTTTCCAGCAAGTGCAAACAGATGCCCCTTGGAACGCACAGCATTTGAAAGTGGGACCTGCCCATAGCACCATCATCATTTGAGGCTCCAGGTTTAGGATTTTAGATTTATAGCTGCATCAATTCCTTCACAGAGACTTGCTGAATTGTCTTTTTGACCTCTCTGGCCCACGTTATATTAGCAGCCTCTTCACTAATCTCTGACTCTAGATTTCTCCATGGTAGACTGCCTACACACAGCTGTTAAGTGTTCTTTGGATGCTGTTGTTTTACTGTGAAGCTCAAAACCTGGCAGCTGTCTCCTCTTGGTGATGTTAAATGTGAACTTTTCAGCCTAGTATTCTTTCGACACCTCTGTCTTTTTTTGTGACTCTCCAAGGCAGCTTCTGTGGTTCGGTCAACTAGATCTGCTTTTACCCTGACCTATGGCTTGCCATTGGCGAAATCTGTGCTGCCACTTGTGCTTTTTAAAATGGAATGGCCCCGTCCACTCCATTTCTTCTTTATCAGTCCCCTTGGCTCCTAGCCGTCTCTAACTGGGAGATTTCTGGAAGCCTGTACTGGCTAATACAGGACTTTTTACCTCCTTAGTGCTCATATACTCGCACTAAAATCTTATTCATTTGAATTTGCATCTCCTCAGCTGTCATTTGCTCACTTTGCCTTGCATTGTCTTGTGTTTGCAGATGGAAATAAAACTGATTTTTGAAAATCAGGTTTCTTTTTTCTTTGCTTATGGACATGAAACTTGTGCAGAGGACATAAGTGCTGCCTTGAGTGTAGGCAGGTTTCCAGGAGAGGCATGTTAGAGGCTTGAGGACTGATAAGAGTCTGGAGTCTAGAGAGGCATCCTCTCTCTGCCCATAATTCCCTGTTTCACCTCATTGGGTGATCTCATCTTCTCTCTTTGCCTCAGCCTCTGTGACATGTTGATGCCTCTCAAATATATGCATTTAGTCCATTCCCCTCTCCTGAGCTTCATACCCATATATCACAGCTTGAGTCTTGGATCTTCCACAGGCAACTTAAACTAATTACATTTCAATATGAAATTGGTCCTTCTTTCTTCACCTTCCTTTTTATCTCCAAATTATGTCTCCTTGTGTATTTTTCATTTTGGTTAATGGGCATCTTCCAAATTAGAAGTCTTTGGTCAGTGTCTCTCTCTCTTTTTTTTTTCCCCCTTGAGATGCAGTCTTGCTGTATTGCCCAGGCTGGAGTACAATGGTGCGATCTCGGCTCACTGCAACCTCCGCCTCCTGGGTTCCAGCGATTCTTCTGCCTCAGCCTCCCGGGTAGGTGGGACTACAGGCACCTGCCACCACGCCTAGCTAATTTTTGTATTTTTAGTAGAGACAGGGTTTTATCATGTTGGCTAGGCTGGTCACAAACTCTTGACCTCGTGATCTGCCCACCTTGGCCTCCCAAAGTGCTGGGATTACAGGCCTGAGACACTGCACCTGGCCTTATTCCTTTGTCATTCCCCAAATGTCATCAGTAATTAAGTATGTCTTCCAGATTTCTCCTGGCTCTTCTTGCTCTCCATCCCCTTTGCTTCGGCCATTGTTGAGGCCTCATCTCTCTTCTGAATTTCTTGTCTTTCTCTTTTACTAATAGTCCACAACAAGCCATAAGGGTTGTTTTTCAAAAGAACATCAACACTTCCATTGTTTGCAGGTTGTGTATTGCACAAAATTGCCACATTCACACTAGAAATTGTAGGTTTGCGGCTGGGTGTGGTGGCTCACGCCTGTAATCCCAGCACTTTGGGAGGCCGAGGCAGGCAGATCACCTGAGGCCGGGAGTTTGAGACCAGCCTAACCAACATGGAGAAACCCCATCTCTGCTAAAAATATAAAATTAGCTGAGCGTGGTAACACATGCCCGTAATCCCAGCTACTCGGGAGGCTGAGGCAGGAGAATCCCTTGAACCCAGGAGGCAGAGGTTGCTGTGAGCCAAGATTGCGCCATTGTACTCCAGCCTGGGCAAGAGTGAAACTCCGTCTCAGAAAAAAAAAAAAAAAAGAAAGAAGTTGCAGATTTGCGTATTTATTATGACTGTCTTCTGGCAGATGGGAGTAAAATATATTGTTCTAACATCAGTATGTTATGACAAGGAAGGAAAACCTATGACACATAAAGACACCTAAGCACTAGAGAACATCTTTTTTATGTCCTTAGTTCTCTGGCAGGCAAACCCCTTCTCATCCTTTAAAACCACACATTAATATCCCTTCCTCGTGAAGCCTTTTAAAATATTCTCCACAAGAGTCAGTCAGTCCTTTTACTCGGCTAATGCCATATTTGGTTACTCTCTTCTTGTAGTGTTTATCACATTATACTGTAAATATTGGTATATGATTCTATCTGTCCTACTGCACTCTGGGATCCTCAAGGACAGGGACAATGTCCCTATTTTATTCATCCTTTGACTTTCAATATGTAGCCTAATGTCCAGCACATAATCAATACATGTGTAATAGGCCAGGTGTGATGGCTCATGCTTATACTCCCAGCACTTTGGGAGGCCAAAGTGGGTGGATCACCTGAGGTCAGAAGTTTGAGACCAGCCTGGCCAACATGGTGAAACCCCATCTCCACTAAAAATACAAAAATTAGCCAGGTGTGGTGGCAGGTGCCTGTAATCCCAGCTACTCAGGAGGTCGAGGCAGGAGAATTGCTTGAACCTGGGAGGCAGAGGTTGCAGTGAGCCGAGATTGTGCCGCTGCATGCCAGCCCGCGGACAGAGCGAGACTCTGTCTCTAAATAAATAAATAAATAAATGTGTAATAAATATTTGATTGCTTAGCGTGATTCAGGCAGGGAGGTAAATACTTACTCACATTATCTCAGTTAATCTTCACAACAGCCTCCTGAGTCCTGTCATTATCATGGTTTATAGGTGAGAAAATTGAGACTAGGGTGGTGAAGTCACTTGCCTCAAGATAAACAGCTGGTAAATCACATGCATGGTGGCACTGGGTGTGGTCCTGGAGGACTCGTGCTGGTGGATCTGTTTTTCTAGTGATTTTCTTGTTTTGTCCCTCAGACTGATGATGCGGGTGTGCTGGTTGGTGAGACAGGACAGCCGGCACCAGCGAATCAGACTTCCACATTTGGAAGCAGTTGTGATTGGGCGTGGCCCAGAGACCAAAATCACTGATAAGAAATGTTCTCGACAGCAAGGTAACTGGTCATAGAAATGTGGAGATTACTATGTTTGGTTATGTGGGATAGTGATAACCAAAGATGCATATTTTCTGGGTGCTCTTGATGGAAAATCTGTTGTCTGCCAAAAATACTGCTCAGGAACTGAGCTCTTTTAGCCAACACCAGGGCCCTATTTATTCCTGATTCTGCCCTCCCAGTGTGGTAATGTTCAAGGCAGGGTGGGTGAAGGTTGGGAGCAGGCAAGTTCATCCTGTTACCATGGGATGGTGGAATTGAGTCCTGCCCTTCTTTCCCTAGGCACATTGCTCAATGGGCAGCAAGATGTAAACTCTGGAGTCTACAGGTGAAACCATGTCTCTCTGAGAAGTAATGGGGTAGTGCCATCCTTTACATATTGCCTCACGCAGAGAGTAACATCTTTATGAGACAGTGGCATCTAGCACTTGTCTTAGGGTTTAATAACATGAAAGTCCTTGCCCTCAGAAAAAAATCCTTACCATGTATCTTGTTTTTTCCTGTAAACATGCACACTGCTGCCTGGAGTGTGACTCCCCACAGCAAGGTTTCCCAAGAGTTCTGAACTTAGAGATTTGGCATCTGCAGCACTGATTATGATCTTTTCTATATGAGTTAATCTAAGTGGAGGGATACAAAGCCATGCCTGAGCTGGGTAGGCCCAAGATGCAGAAGCAGCGGCTGCTTCTCTCTCTGTTCCCTTCCTCACAACAGCAACTGAAGGGGCATGTATGTGGCACCCTGTCCTCTCTGGGGAGCAGCTGTGGTGGTTCTTCTTTCCTCCCTCTTTCAACTCCAGATACCTTGTGCATTTATCAGAACAGGAATGCTTAATGTTACCACTTCTCACACATGCTCAGATTGTTCTGTCTCTGCAATCATCTTTCTAGAACATTCTTCTCCTTCCACCCAAAGCCACCTGAGTTTCTGTCTTCCAGGAATGTGTCTTTTACTGTTTTCTCTTTTAAAGTCGTCTGGTAGTTTTTGTTTTTCCAAAATAATATTGGAAGCCAGATTTAATCCTTGGTCAAGAGTTTGTGTGGGAAATGGGTCTTTTTTTTTTCTCCTGAGACAGGGTCTCACTCTGTTGCCCAGGCTGGAGTGTAATGGTGCGATCTTGATTCACTGCAACCTCCGCCTTCTGGGGCTCAAGTGATTCTCCCACCTCAGTCTTCCAAGTAGCTGGGACTACAGGCACATGCCGCCACACCTGGCTAATTTTTGTATTTTTTTTGTAGAAATGGGGTTTTGCCACGCTGCCCAGGCTGGGAGAAATGGGTCTTCTTTTCTGGTGGCAGAGTCTGTGATCATGAGCAGGCCAGGGGTTCTGGAATAGGGAAACTTGTGGGGATTAATTGAAGCTGCCTCACAGGGATCTTGGCAATAGCTAAGGGAGTATGTATGCTGTTGGACATTTTATGGAAGGATTTAAACCTTTAGAAATTGATGGGATTTGGAGCTCCAGCCACCTGCATAACAGGTGATTGCTAATAGGCCTTTAAGGAAACATCTGTTCAGCTGCCTCCTGTAGTGAAGCTTCATTGTTTTCTTTCGGGAAAATAGGAGCAAGTGCCTGGTTCTTTGTTGCATTTGTGTTTAACTTTTTCCAATCTCTTTCAGTACAGTTGAAAGCAGAGTGTAACAAGGGATATGTCAAGGTAAAGCAGGTAGGTGTATTTATAACTTGGAATTTTATACTTGATGATTTTCTTATGCTGTTGACTTTAGAGTGTCTGTGCCAGCCAGTGAAGGCTTCTCTGTCATGTATGGAAGTGATGGAGTAATATAGGTGAACATTAGGCAAGGTGCTTGGCATATAGTAAGTGGTTAATGTAGCAGTGGCTATCTTACTGTAGGTGCTGTTGCTATTATTATAATTATTTTCTGATTGTTTATCCCATAGGTAGGAGTCAATCCCACCAGCATTGACTCAGTCGTAATTGGGAAGGACCAAGAGGTGAAGCTGCAGCCTGGCCAGGTTCTCCACATGGTGAATGAACTTTATCCATATATTGTAGAGTTTGAGGAAGAGGCAAAGAACCCTGGCCTGGAAACACACAGGAAGAGAAAGAGATCAGGTGACAGTGATTCTATAGAAAGGGATGCTGCTCACGAAGCTGAGCCTGGGACAGGGCTGGAACCTGGGAGCAACCATAACCAATGCTCCGTGCCTCCAAAGAAGGGAAAAGATGCACCTATCAAAAAGGTGAGGGTAGTGTGATTGGTAGATGATGTGGAGAAGAAATGAAATATAATGACTGCTTAATTGTTTTGTACACTGTAAAGTTCAGAAATGTGTGAGGGGTTGTTAACCAAGATGAAAGAGTCACTTGTTTGTGGCATGAAAATCATTTAGATGAATGTTCCTTTATGTGCTTTTTCTTAAATTCCTGAGGTAAGCCACTTGAAGGTAGAGCAATAATGGCAGTGTGCACTTAACACTGAACAACTAAAATGGATCAGTTGTTTATGCATCTATAGAAGGTTTTCATAGATCATGTAATTCATATGCTGATGTCAAAGTGGAGAATTGGTCAGGCTGTAGTTGGAGTGAGAGAGGGCAAAGAAGGTATGACTCATACTCTGGCATTTCTCACCTTCATCTAGACAGCCAGCTGTGAATATAGGAAAGCTGGCTGGGTGCAGTGGTTCACGCCTGTAATCTCAGCACTTTGGGAAGCTGAGGCAGGCAGATCACTTGAGGGTCAGGAGTTTGAGATCTGCCTGGACAGCATTGTGAAACTCCATCTTTATTAAAAATACAAAAATTAGCTGGGTGTGGTGGTGCACGCACGCTTGTAATCCCAGCTACTCAGGAGGCTTAGGCAGAAGGATTGCTTGAAGCTGGGAGGCAGAGGTTGCAGTGAGCTGAGATGGTGCCACTGCACTCCAGCCTGAGCAACAGAGCGAGACTCCGTCTCAAAAAACAACAACAATAAAATATGGCTGGGTGTGCTGGCTCATGCCTTTAATCCCAGCACTTTGGGAGGCCGAGATGAGCAGATCACCTGAGGTCAGGAGTTCGAGATCAGCCTGACCAACATGGTGAAACCTCCTCTCTACTAAAAATACAAAATTAGCTGGGCATGGTGGTGCACGCCTATAATCCCAACAACTCCAGAGGCTGAGGCAGGGGAATCGCTTGAACCCGGGAAGCAGAGGTTGCAGTGAGCCGAGATCACGCCATTGTACTCCAGCCTGGGCAACAAGAGCGAAACTCTGTCTCAAAAAAAAAAAAAAGAAAAAAAAGAATATAGGGTCGGGTGTGGTGGCTCACGCCTGTAATCCCAGCACTTGGGGAGGTGGAGGCGGGTGGATCACCTGAGGTGAGGAGTTCAAGACCAGCCTGGCCAACGTGGTGAAACTCCATCTCTACTAAAAAATACAAAAATTAGCTGGGCGTGGTGGTGGGCACCTGTAATCCCAGCTACTTGGGAGGCTGAGGCAGGAGAATCACTTCGGAGGCTGCAGTGAGCTGAGATCGCGCCACTGCACTCCAGCTTAGGTGAGACAGAGCGAGACTGTCTCAGAAAAAAAGAATATAGGAAGGCAATGGAGTGAAGTAAAGTCAAGTGAATCTTGTTTAATTCTCAAAAACTAAGTTTATTTCCAAGTTTAGTTGTGCTGTCACACAGTATTAACTATTGCCAAATTTAATTATTGGCATTTATAATTTACATTGCTTGTTTTTTTTTTTTTTAGGAATCACTGGGCCACTGGAGTCAAGGCTTGAAGATTTCTATGCAGGACCCCAAAATGCAGGTCAGAATACAATTTTGGAATTTCAATACCTTTCATGTTGTAAATGACTACTCCACAGAGGTCTTAATTACAAATGAAATCAAAGGATGTCAGTCTTTCCGAAGGAGATTCATTTTATTGGGCTTTTCTGTGAGAACAAGAGGTTTTTCCCATTGGCAATAAAGTAGCAACTGGAATTGTTTGGAGAGAAAGCTAAGTTCTTCAAATGAATATCCCCTCTACCTTGTCCCTTTTAAACTTCTGGGTACTTTAAGGGAAGTTGCATTAACCTTAGTATGGTTCCTTTCAGGGGAGCATCAGAGATAATATACTGTGACAGTAGTACTGTGCTGCCCTGGCATTAACAGTCAGACATCCCTGTAATCCCAGCACTTTGGGAGGCCGAGGTGGGAGGATCACCTGAGGTCAGGAGTTTGAGATCAGCCTGACCAACATGGAGAAACTCCGTCTCTACTAACAATATAAAAAATTAGGCCGGGCGCGGTGGCTCAAGCCTGTAATCCCAGTACTTTGGGAGGCCGAGGCGGGTGGATCACGAGGTCAGGAGATCGAGACTATCCTGGCTAACATGGTGAAACCCCGTCTCTACTAAAAATACAGAAAACTAGCCGGGCGTGGTGGCGGGCACCTGTAGTCTCAGCTACTTGGGAGGCTGAGGCGGGAGAATGGCGTGAACCCGGGAGGCGGAGCTTGCAGTGAGCCGAGATCACGCCACTGCACTCCAGCCTGGGAGACACAGCGAGACTCCGTCTCAAAAAAAAAAAAAAAAAAAAATTAGCTGGGCGTGGTGGCGCATGCCTGTAATCCCAGCTACTCGAGAGGCTGAGGCAGGAGAATCGCTTGAATCTGGAGGTGGAGATTGTGGTGAGCTGAGATCACGCCATTGCACTCCAGCCTGGGCAACAAGAGCGAAACTCCATCTCAAAAAACAAAAAAAACAAAAAAAACCAAAAAAAACCAGGCATCATCCTTGAGGAGCCTTTGAGTTACACTTCAATTACATTCCTGGTTGACAAGGGGCAGGTCTAATAGGGCTCACTGGAACCCATGTGTATGTGTCACACAGTCTGCCATGTTGGAGTGGAGAAGGATGCTTTTGAATTTATGCCTACAGAGATTTTACATCAGATCCTTGGGAACTATTTTGTACTATGCATCTTCTGTGTATTCTGTGTAGTGTGGTGGTTGAAAACAGACTCTGGAGTCAGCTAGATCTGAGTTGAAATCCTAGATTTCCCTCTTAGGAACTATGACTTGTGCAAGACACTGAACCTATCTGAATCTCAGTGCTCTCATCTCTCAAAACTGGGCTATGAAAACTATTTGCACAAGATTGTGAGAATTAAGTGACTTAGAGAATATAACAACCAGGCACACAGAAGATTCTTAGTAGATGTCTGCTTCCTTCTCTTGTGTCCCTCTGCTAGGTTTACAAAGATGAGCAGGTGGTGGTAATAAAGGATAAATACCCAAAGGCCCGTTACCATTGGCTGGTCTTACCATGGACCGCCATTTCCAGTCTGAAGGCTGTGACCAGGGAGCACCTTGAACTCCTCAAGCATATGCACACTGTGGGGGAAAAGGTGATTGTAGATTTTGCTGGGTCCAGCAAACTCCGCTTCCGATTGGGCTACCACGCCATTCCGAGTATGAGGTAAGCCATGTGGGTAGTGCTGCTGGCTCCTGGTTCTGTCCAGGTGGGCAGATAGATTAAGCCTGGGCTTGCTGAAGGCACTGATTGCACTGAGGCCCAGGGAAGTGGGATGGAGTTTTTCCAAAGCAGGTGGGCTGAAGGCTCCATCTCTCTGCCTGACTTGCATGCAAGCTTTGAGTTCCCACTTCTGCCTATAATTCAGTTACATTTGGTTCTTTGTTCCTCTCAAAATATAAACCTTCGAGAGCCTAATATATGAACTAGATAAAGCAGCTTCGTTATCCTCAGATGAAGAATTGTGGTCAGTGGCTTTTATCAGATTCTTCAAAAGCATCTGTAACCCCAGAATGATTAAGGACCATTACTCTGAAGGAAACAAACATCATAGACTTCTGTAATGACAGCTTAGTAGATGCAGGATTTGAAAATAAAATGAGAGAAAAGTGTAGAATCTGTTTTCCTATGGCTTATGCCCAGAAGGATTCAGAAAGGAATGATTGATTTCTTTCAAAGGATACAAGCAAGGTGGATCTCCATGATTCCTTTGATTTAAGCAATAAGATGATGAGTCTAGATTTTAGAGTTTTTATTTTGTTTTTTTAAAAACTGTGATAGAATATACATAACAAAATTTACATTTTAGTCATCTTTTTTTTTTTTTTTTTTTTTTTTTTTGAGACAGAGTCTCACGCTGTTGCCCAGGCTGGAGTGCAGTGGCGCGATCTCGGCTCACTGCAAGCTCCGCCTCCCGGGTTCCCGCCATTCTCCTGCCTCAGCCTCCTGAGTAGCTGGGACTACAGGCGCCCGCCACCGCGCCCGGCTAATTTTTTGTATTTTTAGTAGAGACGGGGTTTCACTGTGGTCTCGATCTCCTGACCTTGTGATCCGCCCGCCTCGGCCTCCCAAAGTGCTGGGATTACAGGCTTGAGCCACCGCGCCTGGCCCATTTTAGTCATCTTTAAGTGTACAATTCATTGGCATTACTATATTCATATTGCTATGCAGCTGTTATTACCATCCGTCTCCAGAACTGTTTTCTCTTCCCAAACTGAAACTCTGTACCTTAAATAATAACTCTCCATTTCCTCCTCCCACTCGTGGCAACCACCATTGTACTTTCCTTCCCTGTGAATTTGACTGCTCTAGGTACCTCATATTGGTACCTACATACAGGGACATACTTGTCCTTTTGTGACTGGCTTATTTTAGTTAGCATAATGTCTTCAAGGCTCATCCATGTTGTAGCATGTGACAGGATTTTCTCTGCTTATTTATTTATTTATTTTAACTACCAACACTCACATTTTATTTAGGTGAACAATTACGACTTAGGTTACTGGCCACTTTAACCTAATGAAATCTTTGTGCCAGATTTTTCCCTAGTCAGTACTGATTCTTTTAAATTGAGGCATAACTTACATACAATAAAGTGCATAAGATGCATAGTTTGATCAGTTTTCATAAGTGCGTACAATCTTGCCACTATCATTCTGATTAAGATACAGAAGATGTCTTATCTTTTCATCCCAGAAAGTTCCCTTTTACCCCTTTCTAGTCAATCCTCCCTCAAGCATTGCTTTTATTTCCTTCAGCATAGATAGTTTTTGTCTCTTCTAGAGCTACCACGTATAAATGGAATCATACATTGCATACTCTTTTTTGGTCTGGCTTTTTTGGGTCAGCATAATTTTGAGATTCATGTGTGTTATTATGTGTATCATGGACATATGTACTTTATTTTATTTTTTCCCCTTGAGTGAATATTTAGGGATCCCAGCCTGGGCAACATGGCAAAACCTGTCTCTACAAAAAATACAAAAAATTAGCCGGGGGTGGTGGTACACACCTGCTACTTGGGAGGTTGAGGTGGAAGGATCACTTGAGCCCAGGAGGTTGAGGCTGCAGTGAGCTATGGTTGCACCACTGTACTCCAGCCTGGGCAACGGAGTGAGACTCTGTCTCAAAAAAGAAGAAGAAGAAAAAAAAGAATAAATATTTGGAGATGGAATTGTTAGGTCATAGGGTGGATGTATGCTGTACCTCACTTTAAAAATATATTTGTATTGTTAAAGCCTGATTTGAAAATTTAGGAGGGAAAGTCACCCACAATCCTGTTTCCCTAATGCAGAGCCCCTGACTAACAGAGCCCTTGGCCACTGAGCCCTTTTCACATAGTGATCATGATGCCCTTACCTTTTTCATATAGTGAATGTTGTCATGCTATGGAGAATGCTTACAGCAAGAGCTGTGGTAGGTATATATGGGAGGCAAATTGAGCCAATAAGCAAAGTTGCTATTTATATACCCTTTTATATTACTCTGTATGATGTAATTTTGAATAAATGAACATGTTAGAAAGGAAAAGGTGATAAGTAAATTTATTTTTCCTAGTGTAAAAGTAATGTTTTCAGTTAAGAAATAAAAAAATAAGTATGAAAAAGAACAAAGACCTTCCATAATACTAACTGTAGATAACTAAACTATAGACCTTATTTGAATTTCACCAATTTTTCCTGTATTGTTCTTTTTCTACTCCAGAATCCAATCTCACATTTCATTTATTTGTTCTCTTCTTAGTCTCCCTCTATCTGTGACAATTCCTACTTTCCTGGCTTTCATGACCTTGACACTTTTGATGAGTACTGGCTAATTGTCTTTAGGATGTCTTTTAATATGGGTTTGTCTAATTTTTTTTTTCATGATTAGGTTGACATTATCCATTTTTTAAATCACTGAAGTGATGTTTCTGATTGTGTCCTTCTCAATATATCATATGGGGGTGGCATGATGTTGAGATCATTTATTACTGGTCATGTTAACCTTGATCATTTTGTTAAGGTGGTGTCTGCCAGGTTTCCACCTTCAAAATTGACTGTTTTTTTGTTTTTTTTTTTTTTTTTAAATTCATGAATATTTTGGGTTAGATATTTTGAGACTATGCTACTATGTCTCCTCAAACTTGCACCCAATGATTTTAGCATCTACTGGTTCATCTTGCCTGTAATAGTTATTGTATTGGTATTTATTCTATAGTGACTTTATACTTCCTTCACCTAACTTATTGGTTGAAATTATTCTGTGTGAACCAGCTGTTCCGTCTTTCTCATTAGTTCTTTATTCAATCATTTAATAGTATGGACTCATGGATGTTTATTCTATAGGTTATAATTCAATACTATAATTATTTTGTTGCTCAAATTGTTCAGCTTTGGTTATTGAAAGCCCGTTTAGGTCAGCTCTTGTGTGACTTTGATATGCCTTCACCATCTTTTGGGCAATTTATTTTCTGGCCCCACAAGATGTTCCAGGCTTATCTGGAATGAACCACTTCTCCAAAGAGCCCTAGGTCTTGGGCCCTAGGTTTCTGTCAGAGAAGTGGTTGATTCCAGGGTGTCCTTGCATCTAGGTCCTCTCAGCCAATAGAGCCAGAAATACCTGTATGAATCCTAACCCATACACACACACACAGCCCTATAATTCTGTGTTTTTTTGCCTTTATTTGTATGTGGAAAATCACGAGTTCATACTGATATCTCTGACACCATTCCAACTCTGTAAGTTTCATTCTTGTTTCCCTTTTTCCTTTTTTGTAACTGCTTTCTCCAGCAGTGAGAAACCTGGCTCTCATTAGTTTCAATAAACTCATTTACTTGTTCAGTCCTAGTGTACCCATAAAATAGTCGCAGGATTCTTAACCCATACCCCTGTGAGAAAGATATTTACTGACTAGCGTACAGTACTTGCGTATAGTTCTTTTTGTTTTTAGCCTTACCGTATCTAGTCAAAACACTGTTCTCCAAAGCTAGGTTAGCTACTGTATTTTCTTCCTCAGCCCCTTTAGTGTGGTTTCCTCATTCATTTGTAATACAGCTATGCTTATTTATTAGTGCTTGTATTTCATTTTGGATTCTGCACACATGTTGATTGATTTTGATTATTTATTGGGAGAATGTGAAATATTACTGATTTTAAGAGTGAAAACTGTTACACAAAAAGGCATTCTACTTGGTTTAACAAGTCCAAAAGAGAATTCCTGATTTTCTTCCCCAAACCTGCTTTTTCACCTAACCTTCTTTATCTCAGTAAGTAACACCGTCCCAAAGCAACAGGCAGCCCATTAATAAGTTGTTTGTTCTATTCCAAAGTGCATTCAAAGTAGGATTGCTTGTTGCCGTCTCAGCTGCTACAGCTCAGCTCTAGGGTAGTCTGTGATTTTCTGGGCTAGACTGCTGTAGCAGCCTCCTTAACTGGTTTCTCCCTATCTGTCCTTTCTTCGCACAATAGTCAGAGTGATCTTTTAAACATGTAAATCAGGTTGCCCCATGGGCTTGGTTTGTGAGAAAGGGCCTGGTCCAGTCTGTCAGGACTACGGAGGCTTGTTTCTTGCCATCCTTTCCACCTTGGGTTTACAGAGGCTTGTTTCTTGCCATCCTTTCCACCTTGGGTTTACGCACTTCTCACCTCCATCTGGCTGGGTGTGGGGAAGACCTGCCAGAGCCACAGAAGACAAGGTCGTTCCCATTGCCAACTAAATGGACAAGATGGTGCAGAAGAATACAGCTGATGCATTGGATTTGCCAAAGGAGCTTAAAAGTATTCCCATGACCTTGGAATTATTACAGCCCAGAGAAGAATCAGAATATCAGTTAATGCTAATGGCAAGCAGCATAAAGAGGAAGAAGTTATATCTTCAACAGTCTGTCATGAAATCTGGGAAAAAGTTACTATCAACCAAGAAAGACCCTGAAGAAAAGAAAAAAGAACCTGTAGTAACATTGCAGAATAGCCCTGAAGCGAGAGAAGAAAGTAGCTCCGGTGGCAATGCAAGCAGCAGAAAGGGTGAGACAAATGCTCTAGATACTCGTGTTTCATCCTTTATTCAGGAATGAAGCACTTCTGACCCTGCTTGGTTAAAGTGTTGGGAGGTGCTTGCTGCAGCTCTCGGAACAGGAGATGGCTACACTGCTATTGGAACTGGTGAGGAAGAATTAGGATCTCAAATTGAGGAGACTGCATATCAAGAAATTAAGGAATATAGATACAAAATGCAAAGGTGGAGTATGAAGTAGGATATCAAATCTTAAAGAGCAAAGAATCCAAATTTAAGGGAAAATGTACCATGTGAGAATATTCCTAATGTCTTATTTGCTAGAATGATGGCACAGGAAATGTCCAGTGATGGGCTCAGAGAGATATGGAAAAACTTGACCAAAGAAGCCATCAGAGAGCATTAGGTGACCAAGGCAAGTGGAACCCAGAGTGGCTTGTTCACATATACAGATATAGTGCTGATGGACTGATAACATTTGTTGTCTGTAATGAATGTGGACGTCAGTGGAAGTTCTGTTGAGCTGGAATAACTACCAAAATATCTGGACTATTTAGAAATTAGATTTTGTATGTTCATTGCAGCACTATTCACAGTAGCAAAGACTTGGAATCAACCATGATTGATGCCCATCAGTGGTAGACTGGATGATGAAAATGTGGTACATATACACCATGGAATACTACACAGCCATAGAAAAGAACAAGAACATATCCTTTGCAGCAACATGGATGGAGCTGGAGGCCGTTATCCTAAGTGAACAAACACAGGAGCAGAAAACCAAATACCACATGTTCTCTCATTTGTAAATGGGAGCTAAATACAGAGCATACATGGAGACAAAGCAGGGAACGACCGACACTAGGGCCTATTTGACAGTGGAGGGAGGGAGGTTGGGGAGGATTGAAAAACTACCTATTGGGTACTATGCTTATTACCTGGGTGGCGAAATAATCTATATAGCAAACTCCTGTGACATACAATTTACCTATATAACAAATCTGCACTTATACCCCTGAACCTAAAAGTTTTAAAAAGTTACCTATATTAAATATATTCATGATAGAAAAAAAAGGGAACCAATTTGATAGTTAGCAAAACATAAGTTATATCCAAAAAAATATGCTTTTAGCAGTGTGATGGGACAGAAGCCCAATCATAGTAAATGGATCAAAAAGTGAGTATTAACAATAGAGCTTTAGGGTTTGCGTATCACCAGTGTAAGAAAGTGGATCATGAAAGTAGAGTCAGCAGAAACAGTGCTAATCTGGCTTGTAGTTAAGGGAGAATTGTAGCTTTTTCCTGTCCTGCTCTCCTATCCCCCACCATGGATATTAAAGGTAGGAGGATACATACCATAAATGTTTATGGGACAGGTGATACCTCATTTAAAAATCTGCTAGCTATTATTGATCAGAAATTGCACTTGAGCTTTATTTCTTTCATTTCATCATCTTAGCAACCCTGTAAAGTAGGTATCTTCACTTCCATTTCGCAGATACGGTTGTTGGGGCTTAGAAAATGATAACCCCAAATAAAGGCCTCAGAAGCAAAGCTTCTCCTCGACCTTCTCCTGCCCCCTGTGTCTTGCCCCTCATTCTCCCCCTAAGCAAGCCATAGAAACTTTAATTCCTCTTTCTCAAGGCAGGTTATAGATACTAGAACCTTTCTTCCTCAAAGCCAACCAAAAAACCCAAAACATTACTCTAACCTTCTTTTCTATGTAGACCTGGCTATAAAGAAATTCTCTGATCTACTTTGTTTGATAGTAGGTCATAAGACTGCCATTCGCATACCTGGGAAGAAGGAATGCTGCACAAAGAGGTTAAGAAGAATCTGGACAGACAGGCCTTGCTGGGTTTCCCCACTCAGTCTATTCTCATTAAGTTGTATACCCTTTTGAAGGAATAATGGTTCTACAGAGGCTTTTCATTCTTCAACAAACCCAAGTGTAAAAATGGATAGTTTTCCCTGTATCTTTGCATCTTCATTTGGAAGACTCCTGTGTCACATAAAACTTGGATTAAATAAATTTGTTATGCTTTTCAAAAAACAAAAAAAAGATGGATTTTGTAATTAGATTTAAAACTAGGCCAAGCAACTAGTTTTCCTATAAATTCTATTTTTAAAGCAGCACACTTGGGTTAGTCCTTGTTTTTGACCCAACGCCCCTTCTTTAAATACCTTCTTATATTGGAGACCATATGATAATTGTATGGTATCTGTTTCAGTTTTTTTTTTTTTTTTTTTTTTTCATTTTTTCTCTTTTCTTTTTCTTTTTTGAGACAGAGTCTCGCTCTGTCGCCCAGACTGGAGTTCAGTGGCACAGTCTCAGCTCCCTGAAACCTCTGCCTCCCGGGTTCAAGCTAGTCTCATGCCTCAGCTCTCTGAGTAGCTGGGATTACAGGCATGCGCCACCATGCCCAGCTAATTTTTGTATTTTTAGTAGAGATGGGGTTTTGTCATATTGGCCAGGCTGGTCTTGAACTCCTGGCCTCAAATGATCCACCTGCCTTGGCCCCCCTCCAAGTGCTAGGATTACAGGCGTGAGCCACTGCACCCAGCTTTCTTTCCCCGTTTTTATGAATGGATTTTTTTTTTTCTCATTTTTTGTTTTTGCTTTTGTTTTAAGAGATGGAAGTCTCACTCTGTCTCCCGGTCTGGAGTACAGTGTCAAGATGATAGCTCACTGCGGCCTTGAACTCCTAGGCTCCAGGTATCCTTTTGCCTCATCCTCCCGAGTAGCTGGGGCTATGGGTGCGCCACCATGCCTGGCTAATTAAAACAATTTTTTAGAGATGAGGGTCTCACTGTGTTGCCCAGGCCAATGTTGAACTCCTGACCTCAAGTGATCCACCTGTCTCAGCCTCCTGAGTAGCTGGGATTATAGGTACAAGCCACATGCTTGGGTCATTTTTATAAATTGATATGAAACTTTTATCAATTAAAATTCTGGTAATTTATTTTTATCTCTTTCTTAAGTGAAAATGTACCTTGACTTTTTTTTTTAACAGTTTGAAACATGCAGTAGAAATTCTCTGTTAATACATAAATGGAAATTACATTTTTTTTTTCATATTGGCATGTATCTACAAATATTAAAGGAAGAGAAAAGGTAATATGATTTTAGATTTAACAAATATGGTGTATATTCAAATAATACTTGACCAGCTTATCTAAATTGTACATAATATTTGAACTAGCATATGAATTTGATTTTAATTATGTTCACAGGACTGGGATAATTAGATATTATTTTGCATCTGTAACTGTAATCATTTCTTGTAATTTCTTGTGCAGGTGTATTGTACTTAATAGATTTTACTTTTGGAAATATGACTGTTGAAATTAGCTTAGCTTTGTTTATTTACTGTTTGACTTTGTATTTTCATTTTGGAGAAGAACACTGTTTTAGTTTAGGAGACTTTTCAAGAGTGAAAGCTTCTGATGATTTTTTTCCCTCATGGGAAGAAATACTGGAAATAAAATGTTAGTATAATGCAGTTATTGTAAACAGCCTATGACTTGATTTTGATTTGGAAACCTATACTGACCAAGTATTAAGCTTAAGGATTGTATAAATCATTAAAGCTGTGGTCTTTTCATATGGAGGTTGATAGATAATTTTTTTGTCTTGAGCCTTATTTGGTGACTTTCTGTTCATGTAATTCATCATGTGTGAATAAGGTTGTTGAACAAACTGAACACATGGGCTATAACAAGTTATTTTTTATTTTTTATTATTATACTCTTAAGTTCTAGGGTACATGTGCACAACATGCAGGTTTAATACATAGGTATACATGTGCCATGTTGGTTTGCTGCACCCATCAACTCATCATTTACATTAGGTATTTCTCCTAATGCTATCCCTCCCCGAGCCCCCCACCCCACCGACAGGCCCCGGTATGTGATGTTCCCCACCGTGTGTCCAAGTGATCTCATTGTTCAGTTCCCCCATATGAGTGAGAACATGCAGTGTTCTCATGGTTATAGCAAGTAGTTATATAGTACAGATCTTTCCATTACATTTTATTGTTTAAACAAAACAAAATTTGTTTTTCTGTTAGGAATAAGAAAAAAATGGTTTTTATATAGGTTCTTAGGGTACACTTGCAATACACTTACCGGCCACTGCTGCAAAGTCTACGTTTTGTTGTGCTGAATCTGCATTCTATCAGATACCTATGGAAAGACCTCAGTATATGCTTTGCAGTCTGCTTTGCTCCCCTTTTCCAGTTTCCTGTTGCAAATCATTTTGATGTAATACAGAAAACAACATTTGAATATCTACATGAAGAATTGACCTACCAGTATCAGCCCACCTCTACTTTGTCAGTTCATAGTGAAATCTTTTATCATTCCAAAAATAAAGTGCATTTTCTTTTTTCTTTTTTTTTGAGACGGAGTGTAACTTTGTCACCCAGGTTGGAGTGCAGCGGCACGATCTCAGCTCACTGCAACCTCCGCCTCCTAGGTTCAAGTGATTCTCCTGCCTCAGCCTCCTGAGTAGCTGGGATTACAGGTGCCTGCCACCACGCCCAGTTAGTTTTTTGTATTTTTAGTAGTTAGTTTCACCATGTTGGTCAGGCTGGTCTTGAACTCCTGACCACAAGTGATCTACCTGCCTTGGCCTCCCAAAGTGCTGGGATTACAGGCGTGAGCCATCGCATCTGGTCGCATTTTCAAAAGAATGAATTTAAGAATAATAAAATTAAAATAGGCCCACTTTTAAATTGTGGTCCATTTTAAAATTTGTCATTCAAATTTTTTGTTGTTAAAAATATATATATAAATCAGATAATAGCACTCTTTGGCTGAAAATCCTTCAAGAGCTTCCCAGTAGATTCAGAATAGAATGCAAACCCCTTGTTGGCCTTTAAGAGCCTTTATGACCTGGCTTCTGCCTCGTGTCTGCTGCTTGGCTGCAACAATTCAGGCCATACATTTGGGCCATATTACCTTTTTTCTGTTTCTTAGTTGCCCTGAGCTTTTCCTCATCTCAGGGTCCCTGCTCTTGGCCTCCTCACTTTCTGAGACACTCTTCCCACAGACCTTGCTTGCCTGGCTGCTGTCTCAGTTCAAATCACTTCCTGGGAGATGCTTTCCCTGAACACTGTTAACTAAAGAGGCAGCTTCTACTCCCGGGCACTCTATCCCATTTTCCTTATTTTTTCTTGGCAATGTTAATTCTTTAAGTTTTTGTTGTTGTTTGCTTATTATTTGTCTTTCCTCATTAGCATACAATTTCTATAAGGACAGAGGCTTTTCCCATTTTGTTTCTTGCTAAAGTCTCAGTGCCTGTACCTAGTTATTGGCCATAGTACCTACTTATTGAGCGTTGAATATTCTTAAGTAAATGAATGAATCAATTGAATTAAATGGACATACTATCAATTCAATAGTATGAATATTCAAAGAGTATGAATACAATGTACTCATACTCTTTGTCCTTTTGATTAAGCCATAGTTGTTAAAGAGTTTAATGCTCAGTTTTTTTTTCTTTCAACTAGCCATGTACATCTTCATGTGATCAGCCAGGATTTTGATTCTCCTTGCCTTAAAAACAAAAAACATTGGAATTCTTTCAATACAGAATACTTCCTAGAATCACAAGGTAAACAGTGTTGCTTGGTTTTCACATTTGTTTTGTTTTCTGAGCTGTTCTTATATTTAATTTGGTTGTTTCCCTGAATAACAACCTGACCTCAAAGACCTATGTACAACTTTGTGTTCCCTACAAAGCGAGCCATGTGCCGGGCGCGGTGGCTCAAGCCTGTAATCCCAGCACTTTGGGAGGCCGAGACGGGCGGATCACGAGGTCAGGAGATCGAGACCATCCTGGCTAACACGAGATCATCCTGGCTAACACGTCTCTACTAAAAAATACACAAAACTAGCTGGGCGAGGTGGCGGGCGCCTGTAGTCCCAGCTACTCGGAAGGCTGAGGCAGGAGAATGGCGTAAACCCGGGAGGCGGAGCTTGCAGTGAGCTGAGATCCGGCCACTGCACTCCTACCTGGGCGACAGAGCGAGACTCCGTCTCAAAAAAAAAAAAAAAAACAAAAAAAAAACGAGCCCTGTGAAAAGAAACTGGATTATTTGGATTGTAGTATTATTGCCACTTTGCTGTGAGTTGTCTTCTTGGGGGACCTAGAAAGCTATTATGTCAGGGTCAGTGTTTTATTGTGACAACAGGGGACTTAAAGGCTGCCGTGAGGATTAGTGGAGTTCATGGATAAGAAAACTGTGGACAATTCTTTGTCTCTTCTGCCATCAGTTGGGTATGAGCTTCAGGGCTGCCTCCTGTCAGGAGTGGTGAAATAGCAGGGGGAAGGCTGTGTATATGTAGAAGAAAGTATTTCCTGGTGTGTAATGCTTTCTTACACACCAGGATATGCTTTCCTGATGTGTAAGAGCTTAAGCATTGCTGGGGTGTTCACAATGGCAGCTGGCATTTACCAAGGGCCAACTAGAGGTAAAGCACTGTGATGAGCTCTTGACAAAGTAATATGGATTGCCTAGAGTGTGTCCTGAAGGAGTGTATTATTTCAAAGGTCGATTGCTCCTATTTATAATCTGATTAAGCTCATTTTGCCTGAGGGAAGTCTAAACTAAACTTACCGAGCTTTAGAATACCTGGCCTGGCATACTGATTGGAGTCATGTTTTTTATTTTATTTTATTTTTGGTATCTCATATGGGTTTTCCAGAGTAGCTGGGATTTGACTTTTCTTCCTTGCCTGCAGCTGTGATCGAGATGGTACAAGAGGCTGGTAGAGTGACTGTCCGAGATGGGATGCCTGAGCTCTTGAAGCTGCCCCTTCGTTGTCATGAGTGCCAGCAGCTGCTGCCTTCCATTCCTCAGCTGAAAGAACATCTCAGGAAGCACTGGACACAGTGATTCTGCAGGGCCTGAGCTGCTGCTGCGATGTGGCCCACTGGAGCAAACTGCTGGCATCTATTCTGGGTTGCTTGTGAACTTCTACTCATTTCCTAAATGAAAACATGCAGCTTTTTCACAGAGTTTATTCTGTTATTGAGTGGCCACAATGTAGAGTCGCTCGAAGTAGTTCAGGATTAGGAATTGGGGTTTGTCATAGATATATTCTCTGGTGAGGGTGGCTGGGATATACCTGACTCACCATCTTCAGGACCCATGTCAGGTCTGACCATTGGGAGCAAAGCTATGTTCACACTGACCTAAGGGAGAATATGAAAGCAGTGGGCTGGTTATAAATTTATGTTTCTTAGATTTATCCTCCACCTCTGTAGGCATGGACACCCTTTAATCAGAGCACCTAGAGTGGCCTCTTGTTTATCCTAAAGATACTGATGGGCCTTGTTTTCTGTTAGTCTGTTATATAATATTATTCTTTTCCCTTCCTTCGTGGGGAGGCTTACTTTGTCCAGTCCTTCCATTCCCTTCTATCTTAGATTACCTAAATGTTCCCTTCTCAGGAATTCTGTCTCATCAGTTCTTCACTGTGAGCAAAGAGGCTAGATGAGGGTGTGGGGGGTTGGAGTTTTCTTCTAATATCAAGGGTTCCTGGCTGTGAGGAAACAGCCACATGTTCGTCATGATTCAGCTGTGAAGTCGTTTTGGACCTGTTGTCTGAAAATAAAGTTAATTTGTTTGAGGCATCTCTCTTAAGTAGGTGGAAACTATTGAAGTTCAGCTGACAATTACAGCATAGGCTCTAATGCATGAAAAGGTGGTTGGTGAATGAAAAAGTTGCACAGAGCCACTACTTTATTTTTCCTTGAGAACAAATTTGGATAAAACAGTTGTATTCAGTTGTTTTTTGGGATAATATTAAACTAAAGGTGAAGGGAAAGCTAAAAAGTTGTTTTTGATCAAATTGTGGATATCTTTGGGGGTGGGACTTTTCACTCAAGTTGTGAGAAAAAAGTAAACACCCTTAACCAAAGCGTCTTCTGGAGAGAAAAAGCCACAGTCCATAGAGACATTTGACCTTTTCGCAAACAAACAAGATGCCACAGTGGTTACTTAGCATGGGTATAGTAAGAATTATATAATTAATGATCATAGCCGCTTACATTTGTCTGACTCCTATGTGTCCTGCATTATGCTAAACACTTTACTCAAATGATGTCATTGAATTCTCTCTGTACATAACTCTATGAGGTTAGGTGCTATTGTTATGCCCCTTTAATGGATGAGAATCTCATATTCTATAATGGGTCCTGGGCACCATCCAAATTTGGTATTGAGTCTGATGCATCAACTCATTATTTTTCCGATCAGTTGAACAGTATAAATGCAAGACTAACAGCAGAAGCCGTAGAACCCAGGGGCCTCGGACCTGTGCTGATCAAAAGCTTTCCGTGGCATTTCATTGATTTCCCTGAGATCAGCCAGTTCCTTTAGCCCTTTTTGTCCATCTCTCACTACCCAATGTCTTTCATCTCTTTTCTCTGCTCCTTCTGCACTCCAGGATTGTAATCCTTAACGTCATTAGTCCATCCATCCACAGTTCTTCTATCTGGCTTGATGCTGGACCTGTGGGCCTGCTCGATTGTCTGTTTCCTCTCCTGAGGTGGTTGTCTACATACACTGTGGCTCCTGGAGGTTCTTCCCCAACCCAGCTGCAGAGGGCATGTGGCCTTTTCTTTGCAGTCATCAGGTAGCAGGCACAGAAACTTTTGAAAATTGGTTGGGCATGGTGGCTCACGCCTGTAATCCCAGCACTTTGGGAGGCCGAGGCGGGCAGATCACAAGGTCAGGAGATCGAGACCATCCCGGCTAACACAGTGAAACCCTGTCTCTACTAAAAAAAAAATTAGCCAGGTGTGGTGGCAGACGCCTGTAGTCCCAGCTACTTGGGAGGCTGAGGCAGGAGAATGGTGTGAACCCAGGAGGCAGAGCTTGCAGTGAGCTGAGATCGCACCACTGCACTCCAACCTGGGCGACTGAGTGAGACCCCATCTCTTTTTTTTTTTTTTTTTTTTTTTTTTGAGACGGAGTCTCACTCTGTCTCCCAGGCTGGAGTGCAGTGGCCAGATCTCAGCTCACTGCAAGCTCCGCCTCCCAGGTTCATGCCATTCTCCTGCCTCAGCCTCCCGAGTAGCTGGGACTACAGGCGCCCACCACCTCGCCCGGCTAGTTTTTTGTATTTTTTAGTAGAGATGGGGTTTCACTGGGTTAGCCAGGATGGTCTCGATCTCCTGACCTCGTGATCCGCCCGTCTCGGCCTCCCAAAGTGCTGGGATTACAGGCTTGAGCCACCGCGCCCAGCCTGAGACCCCATCTCAAAAAAAAAAAAAAAAAAAAAAAGTAAAAAGAAAAAATCATACGCGTATTAGTTAAGAACAGGCTCTGGATTCAGACCTGGGTCCCAATCCTAGCTTTGCTACTCAGAGCTGAGGGATCTTAGGTAAGTTACTTATTTTCTCTGAACTTCAGAATTCACATATGTAAATGGACATAACAGAGTTGAGTTATAAGGATTAAATAATCTATGTAAAGGGTTTAGCATAGTATCTGGCACGGAGAAGGACTCCATAAATGTTAACTGGAAGCCTCTGCTTTTATCTCACTGGAGGCTGGGAAGGAGGATTCACCTGATCCATGCCTCTCTGCATCTGAATCCTTACTGCTGCTGGAAACTTTATGAATACGTACTCCATGTACTCCTTAGATCAGAATTACTAGTTTACCTTTTAAAAAATGTAAGCACTTGGGCTTTACCCAAGAATTACTGAATCACAATCCTGAGGGCCTAGGAATCTTCATTTTAAACCATTCAGGGTGAACTTTATTTTATTGAGGTTTCAGAACCACAATATAAATGAACCTTTGGCTTCAAAGCACCTTGCATTTCTGAAGCTTACGGATTTGGCTGTGTCCTGCCAGGACACAAATAACATTTTCTGGTTAGCTGCCTGGGCCTGTCATAGGTCTGCCTTCCCTCTGCTGTTTCAAGGTTATTTCAGAGTCCGGGGAGACCTCCGGCATTAGCTGAAGGGGAGTCCCTCATTACAGGGTTCTTCAGGAGTTTGGCAGAGCTCCTTTGGCCCCAGGCTCTTAGGAGCCAGGTCTGGAGATGACTTCCCCTCAGTGGCTCCCATTCCCTCTTCATGCCCAGAGATCAGTCCAGTGGCTTGATCTGGGACCTGTAATGAACACTGCCAGCCTTAGGCTCAGAGTGTATTTTTCCTTCTCTGGGTCTGTCTGAGATACCCAGGTACAAATGGTCCTTGTAGGGACCAGATCATACTTCAGGTTAAGGATGTCTTCAGATTCAGGGACGTTTTCTAGAGCCTGGCATCTGATAGTCACACAGACTGGACATGGCTGGATATCAGAGATTCAGGACTCATCTGTCATTGTTGGCCTGACTGTTTCCCTCTGCTTCCAACAGCTCCAACTCGGAGGGAGACTTTCGCAGGACTCTGAAGATTCTACCACAGACTAATTTTTAAAAATGCGATGAAAGCTGTGAAACCTGCTTTTCAGCATTATGAATATTTACACATTTTGTATGTGTTACCAGGGAGTTTATGGAGCCACTGAAGTGCTTCCATAGGGTCTATGGACCCTAGTTTAAGAATCTCAAGAGAAAAGATTAATCACCATGCATCTGGGATGTACAGGAGGGGTCTCAGGTCACTGTGGAGGACTAGGCGCCCACCACCATGCCTGGCTAAGTTTTGTATTTTTAATAGAGATTAAGTTTTACCATGTTGGCCAAGCTGGTCTCAAACTCCTGAGCTCAAGTGATCTTCCCACCTCGGCTTCCCAAAGTGCTGGGATTACAGGCGTGAGCCATTGCGCCAGGCTTTTTCTTTTTTAAAAAAATATTTTACCAACCAAGAAAAAGCATTGTAGTTCTGGCACAAGTTGAAAGCTGACACAACCCACTGCTCCCACCCCCAACTTGTACTGTTTGACATTTATTGGAGAAAAAAACTATCATTTATTCACACTGAAGAATTAGTTACTGGCCAAGGACCTTTTGTAGAATCTTCTCCAGAAACTGTAGGAGGTCCTCTTACAATGCTGATTGGAGTTGCCAGGGTCCAGAGGCACCTCCATGCCCTGGGTCACCAGACCACCAGCCTTTGTGGCTCTTTCCCCAGCTGCATTCTGGAGGTAGGAGGCTGGGCCCAGGGCAGAGGAGGGGGCATCTGGGGATGTCTGAAGAGCCAGTTGAGCAGCTGAATTCTTATCTACTATCGACAGTATTTCCACAATCACAGGCATTCCCTAGGTTACAAATACATTGCTCAGAGACTAGGAACTGGAAACTTGCTTTTGAAAACCCGTAAAGTGGAAGATGTTCATGTCAAAGCAAGAGGGTCAACAGGTCAAATACTAAAATGTGGTCCTTCCAGCTGGCCAAGCATTAGGAAAGAGACCCAAGATGTGGGAGGGAGGCCCCAGTAGGTATCTGAATCCCCCACATCCCTGCAGTAGCTCAAAGCCTCTATGTCCCCTTTATGTGAATGAGAAAAGGCACCCCCTGCAAGCAGAAGCTTTTAGCTCACACTCATTTGAGACTGAGGGCCATATAGGGTGCAACTATACAATCTTACCGTGTGGGGTCCCTGTTTCTCATGAGGTTCTCTAGGAAAGGTAGGTTTTTTGGTTCTCCATCATGTGTCCAATGAGATTAGAAGAGTGTGGAACAAAACAGGCTTCCAATAAAATTTCATTGAGTGAATGACACCTGTATGAATACACTTGGAATGGATGTAGAAAACACAACTTTTTCTGTGACATCTGAATTTGATTCGCAAGCATGTTGTTCAGTGAGTCTGCATCTTTGCCCTTAGAAACAGTTTTTATTTTATTTTTATTTTTTTAAAAGTCCCTTCTTTTCACAGGTGTTGATCTTTAATTTTTTAAATTTAAACATTTTTTCTTGCCTTCTTCATTTTTCCTTCATAGGACTTTGGAAACATTCTGATAAACATCTTGCTGCCATTGATTATGGGAAAAAAGTATATCTTACAGGTTAGAATTAGTGGAACATAAGCATGTTAATGTTTTTCCACAGAATGTTCCAAATCTTTGCTAACAAAGCAAGTGATTAGGGATTGGAGTTTTCCGTATCTTTTCTACGAATGGTCTATTTTCGGGGCTTATCCATGGGTGACCACCAGATGGCAGCATTTGAACAACAAATTTTTAATTGTCTTTTACAAGACAAAGCTGTTTTTGAAGCCCTTTTATATATCTTATGTTTCAGAACCAATGCTTCAAAACAATATAAGGGGCTTTTAAAATAAGACCGATGTGTGTGTAACGTATCTCCTAATTAAGATAGAAGTTTGAGGGAAAACCAGTGTGTGGGTCAAAATACAAAACATACACGATTGATTGGGAGGCTGTTTGGCTGAGAGGTGAAATGGACTCTAAAGTTGGCTGGAAGCTGGGTGCGGTGGCTCATGCCTATAATAATCGGGAGGCTGAGGCTGGTGGATCATTTGAGGTCAGGAGTTCGAGAACAGCCTAGCCCCTCCTAGCCAACATGGCAAAACCCTGTCTCCACCAAAAATACAAAAATTAGCCAAAAATTAGCCAGGTGTGGTGGCATGCACCTGTAATCCCAGCCACTTGGGAGGCTAAGGCACAAGAATCGCTTCAACCCAGGAGACAGGTTAGTTACTGTGAGCTGAGATTGCACCATTACACTCCAGCCTGGGTGACAGAGCAAGACTCTACAAACAAACCCCCAAAAACATTCTATTAAAAAAAATAATAAGTTGGCTAGAGCCAAGGTTGAAGTCTGATTCTGGCACTCATGAAGTGGACCTTGGG